CTGCAAGAGCCACCACGATCAAACACCTCTGTGAGTGAGCCTGGCATCAGCATTGTCGGGCCGGAGGGACATGCGGAACTCCACACGGCTGGTGAACATCCGATAGGGCTCGCTGGTGCCCAGAGTGGTGAGGTCATTGATCAGGACCCCAATGTAGCCTTCGGTGCGACTGACAATGAAAGGGGGCTTGCCATGAACCCGCAGACAGGCATTGATCCCAGCAATCACACCCTAGGCAGACAGAAAACAAACCAAACACGTTTATCGGTCTCTTCTTAGCTAAAGTATCAGCACATCTGCCTCCAAAGACTCACACGTCAAACTGTACCCAGAAAAATGCAATAGTCCGTGCTAGTAATCCAGGTAGTGCCTTTCTTGTGACACTACGAGTGTCTGAAGGGATTCTCAGCCACTGCTGATGTGTCTGGAGACAATTCCCACGTTTTCAATTATACCCGCTGCACAGTCTCCATGCTGAAACACTTGACAGTGCCTCCAATTACTTTTGTTACTGCAGTCTTAGTGATAGCACTGCAGATAATAAAAGTAAAAATATCTTGGGCAAGTCTGGAATTGGGGTGAGCAACAAAAGTAAGAACACCTGAGGAGCAAAAAATGGGCCTCGCAAGACTCTGTATCACAGACAAATGCCGAGGCAATATCCCTTTTCTGAGTGCTGAGTACACGTGGTCAGATTCACCCACCTGAGCTGCAGCTTCTTCATAGCCTGTCGTGCCATTTATCTGGCCTGCAAGGAAGAGGCGCTGAACAAGACGCGACTCGAGGGAAGCAGTCAGTTGACGGGGATCTAAAAAATCATATTGCACCCCGTAGCCTATGACACACAACAAGACAGATGTTACAGGAGGCATTTTGAAGGTCAGCAAAGGCAACCAGTGGGGCAGGATGACTTAGCTTTTCAACTTTTATTTACAATTTCAAAACAACCAAGGAAAAATCCCTGCAACTAGGAATTAGCTTTGTTTCTCATTTCCTTTGTTTTGCTATGCTCTAAACAGAATCTGGTTTTCATTAACTGGTAAACAATGTAACAAATAGATTTAAAACTATTCATCCCCCTCACCTGGTTGTATCATCTTGGCTTTTTCCAAACCTGGGACGGATTTGATCACCTGCTCCTGAAGCTCAGGCGGCAGTGTCATGGACATGCCTTGGGGGTAAATGACGTTGGATTCCAAGCCTTCAGGCTCCAGCCAAACTTGATGTTGCCGGTTTGGGAAGCGCAGAACCTTTGATTCAAGAGAGGGACAGTACCTGCAACAGTAAATGGCCATGAGCACCATGTGATATGGAGAAAAAGTAACTTTGCAGAAGCGAAGCAGGATACCCCCTCAGTTTCAAACAGATTGACACTCGTCCCCTTGAGAGCCTTGCGTGATGCCACACACTTACCGAGGGCCCCTTGTTGTCTCCCTTACATGGTTGTTCAGGTGGAGGTTATCATAGATAATTTGCTGGGCTTTCAGGGTAGTGCGTGTCAGGTAACATGGCAGCTGATCTTCTGGCTGAAAGAGGCCAAAGCTCACTTTAAGTTAATCCAGTCACAACACTGTATTCTTATTGAACAACTCTGAGGATGTCCAATACCTTTTCCATGACAGCTGGCTCTCACTTCTTGGAGAGCTAAGTAGCGCTGTCATACCCACTGTACAGACAGAACATGAGCAATCAGAGAGCATGAGAAACATGCCCAAAAGCAGACTGAGAACAGAATAGAACTTGGAAGTGTAGAATTCAAGTTTTATTCCATACGCTGTACAGGATTCCATACACTAATTAGTGTATTCCAAACACTAATTACAGGATGGATACTCCCATTAAAGCAACACGTTATATCACAGCATTCAAACTGACTACAGGAATTTAAAGCTCTGGAGCAAGAAGAATAAGTGCTGACCCTACAGCTAACAGGCAATAAAAGATTTTGGTGAAGAAAAAAAAAAGAAATGTCTCGGTGAAGAAAAAAAGATAAAAATCTCAAAACTCTGCAATTAAATTCAAAGTTTAAGGAAAAAACCTACCACGTAAAGTATTTGAGTGATTTGTCTGAAAAATTCAATAGACTCACATTCAAAATAGTAATAATGTTGCACCTTAACTTCTTAAAACCTTTCCTACACATACCAAGGACTTCAAGTAATATTACTTTCACCCTCATCCTGATTCTAATAGGTTATTGCAATTCCTATATGCTCCGGGGAAAATTAACTCCTGATACTTAACTCTGTGCTATTCAACTACATTATGTAAGAATTTTCTTTGAAAGGAAAATTTCTTTGGAAAATTGAGCTTTTTGTGCTTTTAAATTACTGTTAACATGCCACTTCTGAGTTCTGTGGATAACTATATCCTTTCTCTTTCTTAGTCAATACTACTAATGATCTCTAATTTCAACATTTTAACCTTATTTTAAAGCTGAGGTAAGAAGCAAGACATTATAAATCTCCAGAATACAGGTATAATAACAGATGTATTTTGTAACCAGCACATGAAGAATACTAGTATCAGTATCCCATTTCACACAATTCTGACTCTAGAAGTAAAAAAAGTTTGGTTCTCAAGTTGAGAAAATAAAGTAAGAAGGTACTTGCTTTCAAAAGAACACAAACAACAAAAGAATCCTTTGCATTGAGAGTCCTCAGAAACATAACACCTCCAGTACAAATACATCCCAGCTCCCTTTCCCAGCCACCAACTCCCTGGCAGATTATAAGCACGACATTCCCAGAGCCACTCCCCAGCTGGCTCTATGTGCATTTGATGTGTGCTATCCCACCTTGATCCACACAGCCTCACTGAGGAAGCTGAATGGCACTGGAGGATTGTCAGCTCCATGTTCCTCCAGACCACTGAAGTCAATCGTGTCTTTGGCAAGTCTTGGTGGTGTCCCGGTCTTCAGCCTGCCCACAGCAAATCCCAGTTTCTCCAGAGTCTGAGCTAGCCCAATGGCTGGCTGGTCCCCTAGTCGCCCAGCTGGGTGCATCTCTAGCCCAATGTGGATCATACCCCTCAGAAAGGTACCGGTGGTCAGGACAACGCTCCCAGCGTGTACTGTGCTCCCATCCCCTAAAACAGCAAGTTTTCAGAAATGTACATATTTAAGTATCAACAAAGCCCTCGTATTCTGGTGCTTCTGTCTAAAACTAGACTAACAGTGTTCACTGAGGGTTTACCCATCTTCTGTTACGCAACAAAAGCAGCATTTCAATAATGAAAGCACTAATAGTAATAACTGCAATAAGCAGCACGTATTTATACCTGTATTTTTACTATTCCTAAAAAAGTTACCTGTAATGCAGAAAACCCACTCCTGGGAGAAAAATCATATACAGGCCTTTACTTCAGAAAGCTTGTTTATTAGAACAGCAAGGGGTAATAAAGTACGAGTCTGTTAGTAATAGAACCCCACGGTCCCATAACATTGTCGACAGCATATGCCATTTACCAAATAAAATCTCAAAATGCAGCATGGAATTCAATATCATTAGCCTGAAGAAAATTAACTTAAGTAACCTCCCAATATCCTATCACTCCAGGTATTTTTGTCATTGTACTACTTTGTAATTACACATACTAACCTAGTTTAGTTCACACTCTGTCTAAACCAGATGTCTTTGTTAATTCATCTTTCTAACTGACAAATCAGAAATGTTTATCCCAAAGGCTGCTCTTAGCATGGAGTAACTGGAGGCACTTACTGATTTACTAACACATACCCAGAATGACTCCCGCGACTTGGCATTTCCCAGGATGGCCTGATTCTGGCTCTGTCAAGATAAGATCTTCCACAGATGCTTCACGAACTGTCAACAGTGGTGTGTTAAGGATTTCTTTCTGTCATGAAAGGAGTTACTGCAAAAATCTAGGAAGTTATGAAACATATGGGCAATCTCAAATCCTGCTGATTTCCAGAACATCTATCACCCTCTTCCATTCTTACCACATAACTGGGAAGATACTTAGTTATGGTACTATTCTGATCGATCAAGTAGAAATTTTCATTCAGATAAGAGTTTAAGATCAAAAGAAACTATTCAGTCATGAAGCCTGACCTGTATCTAAAATGCTGGAGAATTTTTTAAAGTATGCTGAGCTCCAACAACCTACAGTGCATTAAAGCACCGAACAGCAACGTATCTAGCTAGGTAAATAATGAAAAACAAAACGTGCGTCCCTCCCTCATCATCTTCAGTAGTTTATACTAAAACCTAATACCAAAAAATCCTCCCGGCCCCGCTCTCACCTGCATGTTCTCCTTGTAGAGGCCGCGGTCGATCTGTGCGCGGAGGCCCCACACGGCCGGGCCCTTGCAGCGGTTCAGCACCTTGTAGTGGACGCCGGAGCGGTCGCAGACGCGGCCGCACAGCCCGTCCAGAGCGTCCACCTCCCGCATGAGGTGCCCCTTCCCGATGCCGCCGAAGGACGGGTTGCAGGACATCTCCCCTGGGGAAGGGACACAGGGACACCCTCGCCGCCGCCGCCCAAAAGCTCTCACGCCGGGGAGACCCGAGGCGCCCGCGGTTCTTTCCCCCGCCCCAGCCCGGGTACGCGCGGCAGTACCGATGGTGCCGATCCTGTGCGTGAGCAGCAGCGTGCGGGCCCCGCCGCGGGCAGCTGCCGCCGCCGCCTCCGTCCCCGCATGGCCCCCGCCGACCACCAACACGTCGTAGCGCGGCGCCGCCGCCCCGACCTCGCTGCCGGCCCGGCGCTGCCCTGGGCGAGGCACCGGAGACAGTGCCAGCCGGCGGCAACCCCTCCGCAAGAACATGGCGGCAGGGCCGGCCCTCCCGGCGGCGCGTGCAGGGGGCAGGCAGTCACCGCGGCTCCTGCGCCGCTCACACGGGACGGGAGGCGGAGCCGGGCGCTCCGAGGGCGGGAGCGGCGCGTCCGTGCGGCCCTCGGCGGCCGCCCGTGCCCCGCCCGCGGGGAGGAGGGAGGCAGGGAGGGGTCCTTCGGGAGCGGGAAAACGCTCTCCACGGATTGGAGAGAGGGAGGTGGCTGTCTCCGCGGGATGTCCCGGCTCAGTCTGGCTTTTACTGTCAGAGCTTTGCCGTGCCCGGACTGAACCCGCGCCTGGCGAGTTTCGTTTCCTGACGAAGGCGCGCTGCCTGGAAAAGGAACTCGCCCGAGGCCAGAGGCGGGAACTCCCCTGCCCGCGGGGCCGTGCTCGCCGTCCTCCGGGTGCGGAGAGGAAGCGGTGGCCATGGACGGCGCGGGCGGCACACGGGCGCGGGGCAGGCGGGGGTCGCGAACCGCAGCTCCGCGGGGCCGGGGCGCGCCGAGGAGCGCAGCGCGCAGCCCCTCGCGGGGCGCGCCGAGGAGCGCAGCCCGCAGCCCCTCGCGGGGTCGCGTCGCGGGCGAAAGCCCGAGCGGTGCCACGACCCGCCGGGCGCCGCGGACGGACGGACCCCCCGCCCGGGGCGGGCGCCCGGGGCGGCGAGCCCACGCTGCCTCGGCCCTGCCGGCGGGCGGCGTAGAGGCGCCCCCCGCCCCGCGGAGCAGAGCGCGGGCCACCAGAGTCCCCGCGGCTCCGCGGAAGGTTGCGGTGGTGCCCGACGGAGCGGCTGCTGCCCCCGTAGCCGCCCCCCGGCCCCTGCCAGACACCCTGCGGCTCCACGAGGTGCTGTCGCGGCTTAGCCTGGGCCGCAGGGACGTCTCCGAGGCGTCGGCGCTAGTGAATATGGTGGTTCCGCACCTGGTCCAGACCATCCGGAGCAGAGACGGCGCCTTCAGCTCCATAGAGCGGCACAGCGCCGGGAGCTACTACGAGCGCGTCAAGGTGGGTTCGGAGGCACCAGTAGCGCCTCTCCCTCCGTCCCGCCCGGGTGCGGGGGCCGGGCTCCGGCCGCAGGTGGCGGGCGGCTCCCACGGGCCGGCGGCGCGCTGCTCCTGCTGCTCTGAGCCGGCCCTTCCCGACAAGTTAAAACTGTAGGGTGGCTGCGTTAGTTAACCACAATGCCTTCTAAAGTGATAAATAACCTACTGAAAGGTGTGTACGTATGCGCGTTCAGTTAGAGACGCTGCCTGAACGGGACTCACGGCGAGCCCCGCTTTTGCACAGCACTCAGGTGAGCCCGATGTAACCGCAGTATAGCACTACACGAAAGGCCCTGTGCCAGTTTTTAGTTTATACTTTTTTCAAAAAGCAGGAGTGATGGATCCAAATTGAAAGATGGGAAATTTAGGCTAATTTAAGCAGAAATTTGTACTGTAAGGGTGGTTGGACACTGGAACAGGTTGCCTGCCCAGGGAGGCTGTGGATGCCCCAATCCTGATAGTGTTCAAATCCAGGTTGGATAAGGCCTTCAGCAACCTGATCTAGTGGGAGGTTGATCCTAAGACATCAAGGTGTCACTGCCCACGGCAGGGGAGTTTGGACTAAATGATCTTTCAGGTCCATTCCAACCCCTTAACATTCTCTGATTAAGCAGTGCCTTTTCTTCCTGGTTCCAGCACACCCTGGAACAAAGTCAAATATGTGGACCCTTGGTTTTTTTTTTGGGGAGGGGGGGGTTATAAAAACATCTTCAGACATAGCAGTGCATTTTTTTCTCACAGATGATTCCTGTGTGCAAAAGGATGACTGAGTTCAGCATTTATGCATTACTCAGAACAGCTTGAGAATCTTAAAGCTTTTTTAAAACTTAATAAGTTGGAAAGCTTGGAAGTACACTGCTATCAGTAAATTGCTTTTCTCCACCCAAATGCACAGTAATCTTGCAATACAAATCCACAGAAATAAGCTCATATTTCACACCAGACATGAGAAGTACATCAAGACAGTTGTAGATAAAACCACAATCGGTATAAAAATCTAAAGAGAATAAAACTCAAGCTGCACATTCCTTGTTGTATTCTCCTACTTTGCAGATATCTCAACCAAATGAGTTTGACATCATGCTGGTAATACCTGTTGAAAGGCTTCAACTGGATGAGTCTGATGACACGGGAGCCTATTATTACCTAACATTCAAAAGAAATCCAAAAGAAAAGTATTTGTTGAAGTTTTTAGATGAAGATGGAAAATTATCAGCCTTTAAAATGCTTCAAGCACTTAGAGAAATTATTAAACAAGAAGTAAAAAACTTTAAAAGTAAGTACTGAGATAACAAGCTTCACCTAGGAGTGCTAAAAATCCAGTTACATTGTGCATATGCATTGCCCTCTTGTTAATAAAATGGGTTTTCCTCCCCGTCAACTGTCTTTTTGTGGCAATGGAGCTGTAACTCCTCCTGTCCCCAATATCTCAAGTTTTGTCTTGTGTTAAGAATCACAAATACATCAGAGCTAATCATATTACGTGATTAAGTCCACTATGCAATCCTCTTTCTGTATGAAAATAACAAATAGTAAGGGTACTATTGTATGCTTGGTACTTCCTACATGATCTGTGTATTTTGCACCTATTCATCAAATGGCTCTTTGTACACAACAAAGAGCTTTCTCTTACATATTACCTAATATTTTATATCAGTTGATACAGAAAATGTATCCCCTTATAGGGTTATTTTCCTCCAAAGCCTTTAGAAACATTGTGGCCAAATCTTTTCAGTGTGTATTTTCAACAGTGAAGCAGGTCACTGGAAAACATTACTGTATTTCTGATTCTTACACAGTAAATCAAACACAGCAGTTCAAAAGTAGTGTTCCTTACTTCATAGAACTCATCAACAGGCCTTCTTAATGTTTTATTTAACATCCATATCCTGTAGGATAAAGAGCCAGTGACTGAACCCAGGTATGTCTTTTGATTGATTATGAATTCCTCATTTGTAAAAACCTTAACATTCTTCAAAAAAGGTTCCTTATATATGCGTGCGTATATATATATACATATATCTAACATGAAAAATCACTCTTCTTTGTTACTAGATGTGGAAGTAACTGTGACAAGGAAAAAGGCTGGAAGCCCTGCAATAACTCTTCAGATCAAAAATCCTCCATCAGAAATATCAGTGGACATCATCTTGACTCTGGAAGTTCACCACAGCTGGCCGCCCAGCACACAGGACGGCCTCAAAATTAAACAGTGGCTGGGAACCAAAGTCAGGAGAGAGTTCAAATTGACATCAGTTTATTTAGTAGCCAAGCAAAACAAAAGAGAAAAGGTTCTAAGAGGTACCTCAAATATGGACAATAATAAGTCATGAAATATCTTCTCTACAACTTGATCACTTACAAGTGCTATAGAAAGGGTATCCAGATCTGTGCCTCTGAGGTACAGATCTTTATCTCATCCTGGATATATCCAGATCAAAGACAACTGAAATCCCTCTTTAAAACATCAGATTTGTGATACTGCTTGTGTTGTACGGAAATCTAAATACAAAACTGCTCTGGCAGGCTGTACACTATCCATTCATAAGAGCATTTTATTAAATCTACTCCAGTCAGACACATGGATGTGAACCTTCCCTATGCTCGCGCTGTACTTAACAGCACTATACACTCCTTTGTTTTCTAAAGAAAAAAAATAAATTAAAAGACTTCTAAAAAGGCAGGGAACATCCCAGCACATGGGACTGCACCCAGAAATCAGATACTTCTGCAGGAAGCAAACTGTGTACTTTTCTATCAAGATACATTATTTCTCATTGAACTCTGGTATGGCTACAATGTTTTATTTTTGTTTCCTTCAGACCAAGCCTACATTAGTTTGCAGAAACATCCTGACTTGTCATTGCATTATGAGAACTGATGATTTTAACAAAAACATCTCAGACAATCTGGTATTTTTTTAATTAGCATGCCTATGTTATCAATGCCAAATAAATCATTACTGCTGTACTGGGCTATCTCTTTCTGGGCAAATTAAATGCAGAGTAACTGAGCCAAACAGGCAAGGCAAACAGTATAACACATGTAAAGGAAGACAAAAATGATTGCTGGTGTTAAAAACAAGGTGTTGAGCTCTGTTAGCAATTATTTTCAGAAGCACGACCAGAAGAACAAAAATAAGTGCTTTAGAACAGCCACCATACTCGAGATAAACTCACAAGCCTGCTGCACAAAGAAAAACCAGAAAACACAGTAAGCATACAGAAATTCAAAGGTCATAGATTTCTATGAGTAGTGCAATTCCGCAAATCATGTTCAACAAATTCAGGAAAAATCAGAATTAAGCTTAATTTTGAAGTAAATCCAAATATTGTTATGAATTTAAAGCATCCACACAATTAACTATGTTCTATATTAATTACATTCTAATTACCTTCGTGTAGAGCTGCTGGGGAATTAAGGAAGAACTAACTAACTATAGACACTGAATTATAATTTTTTTTTTACAGGGGTAAAAAAATTGCCAATATTTAAAATTAAGGCAATTGCAAAGTGTTTCTTTTTTTTCTAGATACAGATGCTGATACTTAGTGCTGTGTAACAATTTAACAGTCTTGTGTTCAACTTTAGGAAACACATGGCGACTCTCCTTCTCACATATTGAGAAGATGATGATGACGAACCATGGCCACTCAAAGACATGTTGTGAATCTGATGGAACGAAGTGCTGTAGGTTGGTATTTCATATGAATATTTTACTTTAAGCCTGAGTGAGCCAGGCTAGTGCTGTCTAGCACTGTTTCAGTTTAGCATTTAAGAACTTTATCTAAGAGTAATTACTCACAATAGGAAGCAAGAATAAGGCTTTTAGGTATAATAGTTCTATAGCGGTACGACAGTGCATGTACTCGTTTGAATGTCTGACTTGCATTTACTTAATGAAAGGTGGAAACAATCATAGTTGCTGGTTTACACTATGAACTTGCCTTAGAATGCAAAGATGCGACTTGATAAATAATCTTTCCCGAGTTCAGTCCTGTTTATAAAAAACAGCATAACAGAGTGATGACTCAGCTTTCTGAGCAACATTACACTTCATATCAAGGCAATTTCTAAAATGATGGTGAGAAAAGAACTGCTGAGTCAGATCAGGATGAATAAATGAGTTTTCATTTTATAAAAACTGTTTTCCAGATTTCTTCAAAGAGGAAGAACAAAACCCACATGAGGTACAAAACCTCCTTAATAAGTAAACTAAGAAGTTGTTTGCCAATTACATCTTGTACTGAATCTAGAATGTCACAACTCACGCATAATTCTTTGTGTTTAAAAATGTAAAATACATAGAACTATGTAGAAGGTACCTAATAAATTCTTATTTATTTAACAGGAAAGGTTGTCTTAAGCTGCTGAAGTATCTTCTAGAGCAACTTAAAATGAAATATCCAAAAGAGCTGGAAAAATTCTGTTCATATCATGTCAAAACTGCTTTTTTCCACTCTTGTGTCATGTGGCCAAATGACGCAGACTGGATTTTGGGAGATCTGGATCATTGCTTTCAGAAATGTCTGGGATATTTTGTGGAGTGCCTGCAAAAGTCTCAGCTGCCTCACTTTTTTATTCCCCAATACAACTTGCTCAGTCTGGAAGACAAAGCGAGCAATCATTTCCTTGCAAGACAGATAAGCCATCAACTGAACAACAGATTCCCAATATTTCAGGAGAGCTATTAAAATCACTGTTTACATTAGCTATCTAATCATGTAGATTTGCATATTTAAAACAAAAAGTTCTGTACCATAAGTTACTTTTCAGTAGTCTGAAGGACAAGGCTGCCCCGGGAGCCCAAACCCAGCTTTCAGCAAAAGAAAGCTCTGCTGACAAACATCTCATGATTCAAGTTTGGACCCTTGTCCTAAGACCTGTTAAAGTTCTACCTTATGGATTAAGCCTGGCTCCAGCAGAAATCAGAAAGGACTCCTGAGATGATTGTATCAGACCATGTCTAAACCCCTTTAATCCCTTTCCCCCTATGTAATTTTGGTTGAGGGAAATATTTAACCCACTGGGCAACGGTAGTAAAAACTTGTGTAATTCCCTAATTAACATAGCTCATCCTCTTCATTAACATGTCCAGCCCCAGATGCCTTTAAAATAGCGTTCTCATGTTCAATAAATGATTCCAGTTCCCCCATACTGGGATCGTGTCTAGCTTTTATTTTTCAGACCACCACTCGTGAGTGGATGAAGACCTGTTGCAGAGGATAATCACCAGCAACAGTAAATAGAGAGAGAATTTTGTATCAAAATAATATGAAGTTCCTGAAGCAACTTTCCTTTCTGAGTCTTCAGAATGGCTTTGGAATTGGGTCTTTTCATTGGACTTTGGGTAGGAAGCAATCACTATCTAATATGGTACAACCGAGTAAAAGTTACTGGGCCAATGAGTATTTGCATCATGAATCTTGTAGAAAGAAATGCATCTTTCAACCCCTATCAAAGAGGAAGACTCTTGATATGAAAGGTTATCAAAACCAAAATGCAGCATGAATCTGACAGTCTTGAAACTGGAATTCAGCTCTGTTTTTCTCATGCTGAAGAAATACCAGTTAGGGAAAAAAATTATATTTCCTACTACTAAAATTGTGCAGGTGAGATATACACAGCATTTGGGAACTGCTGAGCTGCAAGTGAATACATACTTTGTGTCTCCTTAGAGAAGCCAGGGCAAGTCTGTATTTTTAGCCTACTTTTTGAAGGCAAAATAACCTAGTGGCTTAAATAATGCCCAGATTTCACCTCAATTTTGAGCAAATAAAGAGGCAAGACCAAAAGAACATTTATAGAATAATTTTATTAAAATATTTTCATTTCATTAAATTCAGTTTATTAGTTTACTCATATGACACGTAAACACAAGTTCAGACCAAGCGTCAAATAAGGAATAACTTCTTCCCATATAAATTCCAAAGAGAGAAAATATGCCCCATTATCTGTAGGAATCTGTGTGACAGAAACTGTAAATGTAAAATTTGTATCAACTTTATCTGAAGGAAATAAAAGCTGACCTTCAAATGTATTTGTTGCTCCATGACTTTGTTAACTTTGCTCTAGTAAACTCTGGTTTTCTTTAAACTAGAATATTACATCCATGAAAATAAGAGTAGAAGCTGTTTGCTTCCCAGTTAACCACAAACATGGACTTGTCATGCTCTCCTCCATCAGAAGAAAATGCAGACCTCTAAAAAAAACCTTGAAAGTCTTAGCAAAAATGACTTTTAATCTTAAGTTTTAAAGAAAACTTGCTTCAGAGAACATAAGTTACTACAAAGAGAGCAGTTTTCAAATAACTAAGTTATCCTTAGAAATACTTCTTTGTGCCAGTGGCAGACACAGCATATCAAGGCATAGTATTTTGAAGCTACACTGACAAACATTGCTTACAATGACTAATTCAGTTCTCTGAAAATAAAAGGAAAAATTATCTTTTACATTCTTATATATCGATACTGCATTTAACTAAAGCCTCCTCGAAACCAAATGAAATGGTTTATTTAAATTGGACAGATACAGAAAACAACCAAATGAGAAATGAAACTTATAAATTCAAGCCCATAGATGCTAACATTAACTATAATCACTTTGTTTCAGTAGCTTCAAGGCATTACAGTTATTTTGAGAGCTTTCTCCAAGGTCTTTGTATATCTTTTTCTTTTCTGGTTTGAAATTGTTTGTACCTTTCTGCCATTGCAATAAGCTCGTCAGGAACTACCTGATAAGAAAGCAGCAGAAAAACAAGGTCAGTTTTAAATAAAGCTAAAATTTTAGACTCTGCTTTATAAAAATACTATTGATCACTTATCTGGCTTCTGTCACTTTGCAGATTCTTTTCTGTAGAGATGCATAGAGAAATCTTTTTACATAAAATTGTACTGAAATATACCAAAAAATCATAGTGTCTCTGGATTTTCAATTCTATATCTCTGCTTATGACCATATCTGATGACAATGTATAACCAGCTAATTACAACACTGCATTTCAGGGAGAAGTTTATCTTTCAGTGATAATGAACAGCTGGTAAAAACATTCAGTACCACTAAAAGGTGATACCATACTATATACATCTATTTGAATGTTGATATTTTAAATTCTTTATGGAAGTTTTAAGAGACTCTAAAGAGAAACTTTGGGACTTCAAAGTGTTGCCATAGGAACAGTTCTCATGTGCGTATAACAAAGCTAAGAGACAAGAAAAGAAGGAGAAAGCAGTCTGTTCTCCCATCACTGGGAGGTTGCAAGAGCATCTTAGGAAGATCCACAGTGCTTTTTGGCATGTTCGTAATTATATGGAAAAGAAGGTGAATAGTATCATCAACAAACTGTCACCTCAGAGTTACTCACATTCATAAGGACTAAAGCCTGGTGTGAAAGATTGCAAACAGACTTAGGCTGAGCGACAGTGACCACTGAATGAAAAAACCCATAGACCATTCTTTCGCTCATAGGAACAAAGGCAGTGTCCAACAAGCCTCCTAAAACCAGGTCAGGCACAATGCTGACATTAATGCGATGTGTATTGCAAGAAGCATTATGGGTGACTGTAAGGTCAAGAGAGGTCTTGGATCATGAACCTATCAAAGCCAGTCTGCTTCAACAATCTGTGACAGCATGCAGCCATGCAGCAGGTGGAACTCGCCCAGCCCAGAATCAGTGTCCTGATTAGAGCAAAGAGCAGTGTGTGAATGTGGCATCAGTGTGAGTGCTCAGTCTGTGTGATTTGTCCCTCTACCAGTGGCACAAATACAGTGCAAACAGTATAGTGCAAACAAACGTCAATACTTTTTACGTCTTCCTAAGAATGCCTAGACCTGGCGATGCTTGGACAGGAAAAAAATGCAGCCAGGACAAAGGGTCTGGTGGAGCAGGAAGATATATTCCTCTAGTTCCCATTTCTTTTGTCAGGCTTTATAATTCAGCAATGCTTGCCATTTGCTATCAGCAACTTTTTCTTGAGCTGGCATGAGGGACAGCTCGCTAGTATGTATTTTATGTGGTGAATTGCTCTCACTGGTAGACAGCTGCCCTGGCTGCCAGGAGTCTACAGAACATGATGCCTCTGGAGCAGTCTGTTCTGCCTAAGTTTTAGAACATTATGTAAAAATAAAAGTGAAAAATGATGCACCTCCAGCTGAAAGTCACTACAGACTTCTATCATTGGAGATAGAAGTAATGAGACAAAGTTAGTTTTCAGTTGAAACACTGAATTATTTTCTTCCACAGTATCAGATCCTCTCCTACAGCTTGAAGCATAATTTATTCCAACTAAAATTGCAACAATTTCTTCCAAGAGTGGTTTTCGAGCAGGCAAGGGTGGGAAGAAGCAAGGATATGGGAACATAAAAATCTCAGTGAGGTAATATCCAGCTTCTAGTGGTTTGTTGGAATTTTTACATGGACAATCTGTGTATCTGCTAAACATACAAGTCAGACAGGGTAGTTCAAGTGAGAAAACAGAAAAGCATAAAGATTCCATAATTTATACGGCACACTTTGCTTGGTATTACAGAGATTACTATTTTTCCACCTGTTTCCCTAATAAATCTGTCCATGCTTCCTAATAAGCTTTTATATATAAAAGATCCCTGCAGCATGATACAGATACCTTTCTGTGGTACCTGTTTTTCTTTATATATTCTGTATATTCAAAATCATGGAGAACATATGGCTAACAAATACAGTTTACCTCTTTTGAAATTGAAGGATTCTGAACCTTCAGACCATGTTTTCAGTTGCTCTTCTTCCCTTTTACATGATGCTTTAAGACTGAAATAATGGTATTTTCATTGTCACGAGAAAAAAAAACCAAAAAACCAACAACCATCTTGTCTGTATGGATACTTCCCTAGCAGATGAAAGTAAGTTTGAGAATAATGCTGCAATTAAAATAACCCTTGAAAGCAAGGATTCATAGATCCTCTTTTCTTCTCTGAACTTAGAGACTGTTCCCAGCTGAATTATCACACATCAAAAAAACCCCCCCACAAACCAGTTTGGGAACTTCACAGTCTGCAGCTGGAGTCAAGGCTTGGAAGGTAGCAGTTGATGCAGAATACAAACCAAGGCACCTCTAATTTCCATTTAAGTAGCTTCAAAGCATCATTACTGGTTTCACCTCTTACATTTTCTGAATAAAAATAAAACGAAACCCAAAAAAAAATCCCACCTCAACCATAAACCTCAAATCTGCAACTTTAGAAATTATTAAGTGACAACTGTTATTTTTTTTCCCTTTTCCTCCCTCAAAAGCATCCTACTAGGTTTGCAATAAAGTGACATAACATCTTTCAAAGAAGAGTTGTAAGCCAGAAGATTCAGGTGAAGCTCTAACCCAGGCTTTAAAGTTTGAGTAAGAATGTCCACAGTAACAACCGCAAGCTCCAGGTAAAAGCCATTTAGTTTGTACTAATGCTCTCATCCATCCAAACAAAAAAAACCAACCAAACAAAATTTAAACTCAAGACAGGGCATGAACTGGGGATTTACTATAAATCAGGCAAAATACTGTTTCTTGTTACAGCAAGAAACAGCAGCACAGTTGTCTCTGGTTTCTCAGATATGGTGTCAAGAAAAAAATACATTTCCTTAAAGAAAGAAATCACACTCCAGTCCTATTTCCCATACTATTTACAAGCATCAGTAAGAAAGACAGCTTGGAAAAGTACATGCAGGTACCAGAACTGTTAGATATAATAAACATATAGATAGTTGAGCTTCTTCTGATATAAATATTGTTAATATTTACACTGTTAAACAAGAACATTGGTACATGCATCCAGAAGTGAAATACAAATGGAATAAAACAGACCCTATTATTCTTCTGCAGACCTCAATGTGTGCCTATGCTAGTTACTTTTTCTTTGGACATGGAACGCTTTGCTTAAAGTTCACAGTTCTTTTCTGGGAATCATCTGTAAGGTAAAATACTTCTAAGGCTATCCAGGACAAGAGAGACTTCAATATCCATTTTTTTCCCCCCGAGACACTAGAAACATTCACCAAGAAAGGTCTACATAGGCTTCATGACCTGCTTCAGGTGTTAATCTAGAACCACTATAAATCTTAGCCAGTAATATATTCTTACTTGGTTTGTTCTTTCCAGAATTTCAATCAGCTCAGAAGCAAACTTCCAATCATTCTTCGTGACCAGCGTTACTGCCTCCCCAGTGCGTCTAGACAAGGAATGAAGTAACTGTTGATCTTCAAAACAACTGTTGTCAGGTTTTTTCTACTGACCTATGCACTAATAAACTGTACTACAGGCAATATTACTGAGCTGGTAGATAAAAGTGGCTTGAATATTTACTATGCACATGACAGAGCAAGTTTTCAGGAAGATCAGAATACAGCAAATTCTCCTGAAATGGAGCAAAGGCACAACTACTTCAGACTTTTAGATAATGAACCCAGCATAAAGACAATGTATTTAAGTATGAAGAGACAGACATTTGTATCATGATTAAAATAAACACATACATGAGAAAAATCACACTTGTACCAACCTAGAAATGCAGCATCCAAAAGTGCTAAAACCAAACTACACCACCATGATAGACTGAAGACTTTGAACTTATAGATGTTTTTCCCCTAATATGCTGTCTAGAAAATTAAACAACTTAGCGCCTCATAAAGAGATAAACAAAGAAGCGACATTTCAGAATATCTATGCAGACATTGTTTTGAATTGTAATTCTTCCTCACATTTAAATCAGCTTTTAAACATCATTCAATAAGAGAAAAGTGTAAAACTTAGTTCAGTTAAATTAAAGGTAAACAATTTAAAAAGAAGGTAGTAAGTTTCTAAACCATCCTTTGATAGACCGAAGTCTTAACTTCCCCACCCCACATCACTTGTAGCTCTAGAATTTGACAAGAATGCAGTGCATAAAACATAACAAAACATTAGTAACACATTACTATTTTCTGGTAAACACTTACCCTGCTCTTCCAGTACGACCTACTCTGTGAACATATTCTTCAATGTTGCGAGGGAAATCGAAGTTAAAAACATGAGTAATATC